AATTTTTTTTTCTCAAAAGGAATCGGAATTGGAAGCCGGTGAGAACCCAACACTTTATCCGACCACTGTGTTATTCGACTGATTATATTTCACAGTGTTGGACAGTGACAATGGTGGATAATGTGGTCATCATTACACCAGCCGTCTTTACTTCCCCAGGACAGCCATCCTGGTACCCATTTCAGGCTGGGTCGACCTGCGACGCCCCATACCACGATGAAAACCCACGCAGCCGGCAGTGAGTTTTGATCGCGGTACGTTAGAATTACGAGTCGGACTTGCAACGCCCAAGCCATGGACGCTATATGTATATATATATATATATATATATATATATATATATATATATATATATATATATATATATATATATATATATATATATATATATATATATATATTGGTGAAGCATAATCATTTGCCCCTAGACACCTTGCCAGATGTGCGGTCCATAACCCTGGACCACATATAACGGGTAGGCAGAGGCGAAAAGCGGTCGGGTAGGGTCTTTGAACTTGAGGATTGAGGACCCGCATGACTAGTGCTGTTAGCAGTGACTGCATCTAAACAATTTTAACTGCAAATTTAAAAAGACTGCAATCTTACCAAGGATTCGACCCTGGGGCTTTCGTATGAGAGTCAAGCGTTCTTAAACATTCGACCAGTCACAACTCAACTAAAACGTCAACTGTTTAAAAAAGGCGGATTTCATTTGTATAGCAAAATGTAGTTACCAAGTTTGAAACTGATGTCATTGACCAGATGGAAGATAAAATATGCATCCCTTCTACGGAAATACCAGTGAACTGACAGCTTGACCTTCATAATACTGTAGAACCTATTATTTTACAGTATTCGTTAATAGTTTGACTTGACTATGTACACATATCATAAGTGTTTTAGTAATTTGTTGTTGTCGCTTGTTCTTGTTATCTTTTTATTCCGTTTTCGTGTTCACCGGTTGTAAACTCCGGCGGAAAGTTCTGGTTATTCTTGAGTTTTGCATGCCTCTCCGTTCAACAGAAGTGGCTAATTTAAATGCAAACTGATGGTTTCTCGCTTTTCATGCAGATGCACTATAAGTGTACAGAAAAGGTATCTACTAAGTCGTCTTGTTCGACATTCTTGTCAGGGAGGTAGTATCTACCCCCTTCCCCCTCGCCTTTTCCAAAAATTGGGGCCCAAGAATCCAAACAAAAAGTTATAGTTCTCAACATGACAGCTATATGTCAGATGTCACTAATACAATATGACTCTAACCTATCGTGATCACTACGGAGACCTGACTTTAAGATAACAAGCTTTATAAGGTTATAGAAAAGTATCGGGAACTAGTCACATTACATGCGTTCACTAGTGAAAGCTGCGGCGGTGGCAAGACAGATTGATGTCCAGTGCTGTTTTTTGTTATTCGAACAAAGTGATGAGTGACGTAACTAGATGAATGACATGAGTAGGAGTTCTGTTATAGGTTGCCTCGTTGGTACGGCTTAGATTGAAGGTAACCTTCTTCCTCATCCTCCTCCGTCTTCTTCTTATTCTTCTTCTTCTTCTTCTTCTTCTTCTTCTTCTTCTATTACTACTACTACTACTACTACTACTACTACTACTACTACTACTACTACTACTACTACTACTACTACTACTACTACTACTACTACTACTACTACTACTACTACTACTACTACTACTACTACTACTACTACTACTATTACTACTACTACTACTACTACTACTACTACTACTACTACTATTAATACAACTACTATAGCAACAGTAGTAGCAGCAGCAGCAGTCGTAGTAGTAGTAGTAGTAGTAGTAGTAGTAGTAGTAGTAGTAGTAGTAGTAGTAGTAGTAGTAGTAGTAGTAGTAGTAGTAGTAGTAGTAGTAGTAGTAGTAGTAGTAGTAGTAGTAGTAGTAGTAGTAGTAGTAGACGAAGAAGAAGAGTAAGAAGAATAATAAGATGAAGAAGACGGAGGAGGAGGAGGAGGAAGAAGAAGACACAGATGATGATGATGATGATGATGATGAGGTTGATGATGATAATGACGAAAATGATAATAATAAAAATTCTACGCATTCCTTTGTTTCGCAGCAAATAAATCAAGGTTTAATTATTAGAAATTACCGTATACAAACGGCTGATGATTTCTAATGCAGCAAAAAAAAAACTCCCAACGTGACTCGAGTGGATGCAACTTCACATAGACAAAACAAAGCCACAAGTGGTTAAAATTAAAAGCACTGGCGTTTAAAGGTCATCTCTAAAGTTGGCCCGTGACTGGAACATAGCCAGTCGTCGTCCGGATATACATCTGTCACAATTAGACATAAAATATGTGTTAATTGCAGTCAGGGATGCACAACGAGCCACTTTTGTTCTGATTAAAACACTGCTACGCAAAGAAAGGGATTTGGTTGTATTTTATTAATGTCCTTATAACTTTAAAGGGAGTGCTACTTTTAAAGTGATTTCGTAGTTTTAAATAGCTCTTGCAAAATGGAGTTCAATCCAGTCTTTTCAGAATTAAATTCGTCTAACAATATTAGTAATAGTACCGACAAACTCGTGGTTATTGATATGTACAGAGATGAACTAAGTAACAGAATGGCTGTGACACTGCTACCTGTGATGGTAGTTCTCGGAGTGGTTCTCGTTACGGGAATGGCAGGAAACACATTGGTATTCTACATCTACTTCTTCAAGTTTACATCCAGTTCTACGAGAACTGCCATTATTGCTCTGGCATTCTTGGACCTTCTGACATGTGCTGTGTGTATTCCAGGTGAGATTTTGGATCTGAGATTTTCGTATAGCTTCACCAGTCAGATCTTGTGCAAGAGCCTTCGTACTTCAACAACCGTTATACTAGTAGCCTCGGGATTTACTTTACTAAGCGTTGCTCTTGATCGTTATCAAAGAATATGCCATCCTCTTCAGAAACAACTGACCTCAAAGCGAGCTCTGTACAGAATCATAATTTCCTGCTCGCTAGCTGCAGTATTGGCAGTTCCTGCAGCAATAGTTTATGGCTTGGCTGAAATCGAGACTCCAATAGAAGGGATCACGGGTCTGGAATGTTCGACTATAAAGTCACTTACAAACCGGCCTCTGCGCATCGCATACAATGCCCTTCTCTTTACAACCTTTCTAGCCGCCTTCGCTACAATGATGGTCATCTACGTGTTAATTGGTCGGCAGGTTTTGAAGCAAACTAATTTCAGGAGATCTGTTCAGCAGCGGAAAGGCAGCAGTGACTCACTCCGTAGACGTACTGTGTGCAGTGAGACGAGTTCAGATGGCGATCATTCCCTGAGCGACAAGATGAAAGAGTTATCACAGTTGCACGAGGCTATACCCGAACATGGCTCTCACTGTGTTGTGAATATAAATGTACAACCTGGGTAAGTTTGCTTCGGTCAATGTTGCAACAATTATCACAGTGATCGTCCCTATCATCATCATTTTTAAAAATATCATAATTATCCTCATCAAAATCATCATAATTATTATCCCATTATCTTTAACATTATCATCAGTACCTTCAGTATTTGAACTCTGTACTGGCTGCCGAAGATGAGGACGGAGCATGCATGGAAATGGCACAAGTGCTGTGATATCAATTCTTGACTCAACTCAGTTCAACTCTTTAACATGTTCATGGTCCCTGTTAAAGGCATCATTACCAGTATCATCACCTTTTCCTTTGTGATTATCATCATCGCTTACATTCACATTATTTCAGTCGTCACCTTTATTATAAAATGTCCTAAGTGGTCGTCGAATTTCGTCATTAGCATCTTCTCGCAGTATATTTATCTGTTTTGGTTTGTCCTATGCAAGCCTTCCCAGTACGTCTGGCGTCTCTCAGCAAAGCTCGTTTCAGAATTTCTGTTGGACGCCCTCGATTGTTAAATCCACCAGTTTCTCATTCCATTGCCTGTTTGGTTGTTGTGAGCACGCTTCTTCTCAGAATGTTTTCGGCAAAACACCACATTCTTTGTCTTATAACTGTTGTCGAGACACTTCTTTCAGTTTTCAAATTTCATGAATTCATCCCATTTAATGTTTGTCTCAAACCCACTGCAAACGTAAGCATGCTTAGGATAGTAGAAGTAAAAGTAAAAAGTAAAGGACCCTTTTCCACGCCATTAGGCGTATAGGGCATATAGGGCTAGACCTATATTTTTATAGACCAATCGGCACAAGATGGGTGATGTGGTCAGCATCACGCCGGCCGCCTCTACTTCCCGGGACTGCACCCTGTACCTACTCAAGGCTGGGTCGACCTGGGATGAAAGTAGAAGACAAGACAATAATTTATAGCATAAGCTAATTTATTCTGTATAACTATAACCTATTGTCTTGTCTTTCACCATCAAAGGCGCCTTCTGCAGAAGGTTTTATACTCTGTTAGTGATATCCTTTGGAGTTCATTTTTCTGGTACTTCAGTTAATAATCTTTGATATTTTTGTAATATCATATAAAAGAGGAAGCCTGTGCTGAATACCAAACGATTTTTTTTTTTTTTTACTTTAGTTTTATTAGGTGTAATGGTTTGTAACTAGGTTGAATTCGACAAGTATAATATTATCAAAGTGTATCTACTGAAGTGCCATAAATATGAACTTCAAGGGATTTCCCTAACCGAGTAAATAACCGACTGCATTCAAAACAAAAACAAAACCTTGATGGTGGAAGACAAGACAATGATTTATAGCATTCAAGAACTGCAATTAAAAAATGGTTATACTATATGAATAACTATTGAGTGTACCCCTAACCCAGAATACAACGAAATACACGGACTATAAGTCAATTTTTGAAAAGCGTTAGATGTACTCATTAAACAAATGAAGAAGAATTTGGAAGCAACAAAGATGTGGTTTCTGAGACGAATATTACGAATATCTTGGACGGCCAGAGTAAATAACAACGAATGTTTATAAGAAGCTAATGAAAGTATATCTCTATATACAACTATAAGAAGGAGACAAACACTGTTTTTGGCCACATAATGAGAAGAGAGGCACTGGAAAACATCGTGACAACTGGAAAGATCAGTGGAAAGAGGTGTAGAGGCAGACCAAGAGAGATGATGCTGGATAGGCTGAAACGATCTCGTGGAGGGATATCATCAAGAGAGCAGTTCCAGGCAACCAGGGATCGTGATCTGTGGAGATGCATGAGCATCTACGCCGGTTGGCAGGGCACATGATGATGATAATGATATTTACTTATGAGAATGAAGATGGAAAGCACGATGTCATATCACATCTTTTTAAACGAAAAAATAAACCATACCAACCATACAAGATATATACCAAAAGAAGAAAGGCACGTAAAGCACCAAATAACGAAGAAAAAATGGAAAGAGAAATTTGTTACAACGTTTACGATATGTTTATGGTCTGGGCGGTCAGAAGGGCAAGAACCGGGTGGTGCATAACAAAGTTCCTTTGAGAATTGGAGAGAGAGAGAGTAGTTGTCGGTATGTTGAATAAGTGGGCAAGGGACTTAACACAGGCTGCTGTCATGAGAATAACCTGAAGCAGAGAGTTCTGAAGAAAACAATCCCCCCACAGCGCGGATTTGAACCCAAAGCCGTCGGACTGGCAGGCGAGCGTCTAGATACAGCTTGAGGCCTCACAATCTGCAGGGACCTACACATTTCTGTTTTTCCCCAAATCAAATGTTTTTTTCACGGCCATCTTTAGACATAAAAGATACAGCTGGACGTGGTTTTTTTCAATATATTATTTTAAAATAAAATCTTCTATTAATACATTGTGCATCCCCGACCCCCCTTTTCCAGCCCCATTCTTTCCCAATTTTTGCATAAATGTTTATGTTTATTATTATTAGGAATATTTTGGTGTATTATTTATCAGGCTTTTATTTATCCTAAACAGGTTATAGCGTAATTAAATTGAAGAAATGACCCAGATTGTCGTCGTCTGTGGCTTAGGCGTTGCGAACGCGGTTCGTAATGTCGGGTTGCCGGGTTCGATCCCTGCTGCGGACGGTTTGTCTTGCGATGGTTTCGACCGTGGTATCGAGAACCGACAGCGCAGAAAGCAATGGCAAACTACTGGACGTAAATTTGCCTGGAAAAACCACGACAGCCAGAAAGTGCTAGTGTTGGTTCTGCAACGTAGGATACGCAACTAATTTTTCTTTTTAAATGATCAAGATCCGTCATTATTAACGATTTTACATTTGGAAAATCAAGGGGAAAATTGTTTTCAGTTGTAGCTTAGATCCCTTTGAAGAAAATATAATTTCTGTGATTTTGAAGGGAAAACAACAATTCCGTATAATTTCCTTTAATAGAAAAATTAAACGACAAAATATTTCCACATATTATTCATTCCTATCCTATGCTACCAGTGCCAGACGTGGTCACTCAGGACAAAACATAAACGAAAAAAAAAGTAACCGTGGAAATTAGGTGTCTGTGAGGTTTTTGAACAACGGATCAACATCATGGCACACGAGTGTAACCCATAAGTGCTCCGTTTTTCTACTAACTGAAGTCTGAGTCCGAAGAAGCTCAGCACAGTGCACAGGCTCTGTAGCACACGACGAGAATCCTGAAAAAGTGTGGGTAGATTTTTAACTCCAAATTTTGCCCTGGCAGCACCGTTAGGCTACTCTTTTCGATTTTCATCTGCCAAGGAATTTTTATACCTGCGCAAAAATGCACACGGGCGTCCGATCTCACTACCCAGAGACTAGAAGTCCAAGTCCAAGTAAAAAAAGTCCCAGCCCCTACCGGGGATTGAACCCGGAACCTCTAGCACTAGCACTAGAGGAAGAAATTGGAGCTCCATATTTTGTCAAAGGCCTTCAGTGTGCGTTTTTAGAGACTGTTGTTGCTTAGCCAATGCGTATCATAATTTCCTTTGAAGCATCTCCGTGAGAATCAAAATTCCTCTCAAAAATAGGTGAAATTGTGGCTTATTTTTATTGACTTGTTCTCTAGCATGACATCAGCATGATCTGTTGTTGGTATCTTTAATAAATGTGTTTCTTATAATTTATTTGCAGTCATATTTTTTACGCTAACGACGACAAATCGTCTGTTTGTCTGTGCATGTCTTCCTTATAAACAAACAATACTAACATATAATTTTCTACACAGGACAAACCAAATTGGCCGAATTGAAGCCAGGGTTTCTAGAAAGAACTCGGTGATTCATCTCCTACGGAAGATGTCTGGATCTGTTGACGCCCGAACCAGGAAAACCACTACAATGCTGTTCTTCATCACTTTAGTTTTTGTCATCAGCTTCCTGCCCCACCTGGTGCTGAAAGTCATCCAGGCTTTGGACAAGCATTTCTCAGACAGCCTGACCACAACCGGTGTGATCTTTTACAACATCTTCGTTCGGTCTTACTTCTTCAACACTGCCGCTAACGCTTTCGTGTATGGCTTCTGCAGCCCAAAGTTCAGATTCGAGTGTAGGACTGTGCTTTTGAGACTAGCATTCTGGGTAAAGAGCAAGCCAATCAGTGCGCAGACAGAAGATCTGATGTAAACTGAGAAACACGAGCCCTGTATGAACACAATTTTTGGTGAACAACTTGGACGAACGAAAGGAACTCTGTGGTCAAGAAATCATACAAATCGGAGTGACCAGAGGATCTGGTGAATGCTCATATATAGGCAGGACAAGCGTATAATCAGACTACAAGTGGTGCGGTCCTTACCACGAACCTGCCCGCAGGTCGCCGTAGAGCGAGAGTTCTTCTCCCTCCCAATCCTTCCGTGGCTGCTCCCGCAGCCTGTTCTTTGTTGTGGGGGGTGCTATGTATTCCTTATTTTCAACGGCTTAACCGTCTCTCTTTTCTCCTTTTGTCACCGCTCAGTTACATGATTATTTGCCCCTTGTGCTATTCACGGGACGGTTCCTGAGTATGGAAACTGGCTTTTTTTTTTAATGTTCCTTGTCTGTAGCTTATTTTTCTCGGGATGGGGAGGGGGAGAGGCGCCGCCAAGGGACGTAGAAATACAAACAAACAAGCAAAATCCTGGTTTTGATGCTCACCAACAGTACGCCTTCGGCGCTTCCCTCCTTCAATGCTTCTCATTTGTACATAGGCACATGCAGCGCCCCAAACAGACCCACGACAACACTACTTACCCCAATCATTTTATGCGGCAAGCGGACGCCGATGGAAGCCATCTCATAAAACCCCTATAACATAGGATAGGTCTTGGGAATGGCCACGGCATGAATGGAAGGGGAAGGAACTCTCGCGCTACGACGACCTGCGAGCAGGTTTGAGCAGTGGTGTCATTAGAATTGGAACTTTGCACTAGGTGCTGAGGATCAGTAAGAAGTTTATGTTGGAATGATGTCTTGTCGATGCTTAACTCTAGCATTCATTTTTGTTTCTATTTAGTCAGTCCTGCCGTTTCTTCAGGGAGGTCATGTCATTTGGAAACAGCGGATTCGAAATCCCGAGTGCTCACAGTAACTTTAAATGTTTATATTATCTAATGTGTAATGTACAGCGATACTCAATCCAATTTCGTCCTTTCTAGGATGAATTTTTTTTTGTTGTTATTTGAAGCCCCACCCTGGCTTTTGCCAGGAGCCGCAATATAGGCAGGCCATAAATGTGGCCAATTGTCTGAACCCGGTTTCTGGGACCTCTCCACGGGTGATCCTCATCCACATGGTGGCACTTTGTGTCATCGAGTGTTTATCGCTTGTGTGATGTCCTGGTGGGGTAGAAAGTCAGTCAGTCAGTCTTGTACAATGAGAGAAGATTCTTGACAGTCTTGTTGCATGGTATGGAGGTGTGTCAGCACACGAACTAATACATGCTGCAGGAGATCGCAGCTTGTGGAGAGGCATGATCGCCCACGCTAGTCGACAAGGCACCTGATGATAATGATAATGAATGTAAACTTGTTTGCTTGAAGGCTGTGAATGCTTTGCAATGAACTGAAATGGGTTAAAGCAAATCGGAAACATCTTAGAAGCAGCGGTGCTGTTTCTAATATACCTTTGACTGACGGAACAGCCAGCGTAGGTCGATTGGGAAAAGCTAGTGATTCTGAATTATATATAACTGTAGGAACGAGAAAAACAACATGATATGATAAGAAAATAGGAATCTGAGATCGTTCTGGCGACTGGAAAGATCAGCTGCTGAAGATGCCAATGCAAACAGACATCTTAGAGTATATGAACTAAACTAGGACTATTCAACTGGCAGCCTGTGGGTCAAGTTTGGATCATTGTCCGTTGTAATATGGTATGAATCTGTCTATGCTGGGTCTAAGGCCGGTGACGATCCTTATTTTCAAAATGTTGGCCCCGTAGTAAACCTAGTTGAACAGTCTTGAATCTAAGCCAATCGCAAGGAATAATATCTTTGATAAAATGTATACTGAACACTAAGGACAACGATTTGTGGTGAGACATTAACATTTACGCAATCTGGCAAGTCACATGGAGCCAATGATGACGTCAACTGATAATGATTGGCCATTTGTTCTTTGCAGGTGTCTGAGAAAGCAGATATATATATATATATATATATATATATATATATATATATATATATATATATATATATATATATATATATATTATATAGAGCGAAAAAACCATGAACCGCATCTTAGTATGCCTGACCTGGATTCCAACGTCAGTCCAGCATGAAAACTGTGCATTTGGAAATATTCTAAAAAATCAATTTGACCGACGTGATATAAACCCCAGAATCCATCAAGTTAGTTTGGGTATGTATATAAACAGCAACATAACTGGAAACAAAATTCTTTCAAAAAGGAAAGACAGAATTGGTGGAAAAGCAGTGGCCGACCAGTACAACGAAATATTGGGCGTGGAAATATATGAAGCATGGGAACCGACTAGTGACAGAGGTACAGTCTAGTCGGCTGTGTAATTAACACATAACGGTGACATGACAGTATGCTATATGAAGAAGTGGAAATGGCACATTTTACATTTGTAAATAAATAATACATTTCCTGTTTAGAGGTAATTATTTCATTTACTAATAACAATGATTAGGTATTGGAAACAGCGAAACGACGCCATGGTTTACTAAATGCATCAACACTATCATTATCATCTTCGTCTTTGTTGTCTACTTCTTCTTCTTCTAAATGATCCCTTAAAACGGAGATTCGAATGTTGTGTTGTTGTTTAACAGATAGGCTGTGATATCTCCGCCTTTCATGCCAAAACGTTAGATTTCAGGAACCCTTGATTAATCGCTTTTTATGACAAGCTTGGGGCAAAAGAAACCATCTGAGGAAGCTAATTACAATTCTTTTGACGTGTCTGCCTTATTTTTGCTATTTTACTAAGGATTGACGGTTTTTTATTTTAATTGTTGGTCTATCATACTCCAGACATCGAAGTAATACATATGCGGATATATATGCTGTTCTGAAGCCAACGGCGCCTTCTCCATGACAACCAGCAGCATGACGATGGAGGTGATGGCAGTGACACAAGCGCTTGCCTGGCTTGAAACACAAAAATACACCCGCGTGTGTATACTCAGTGATTCAATGAGTATGATCCGGAGGGTTCAGGCAGGTTCAGTGCGAAGACAATGGCTTGAATCATTACAGAAGTCCACTGTTCGTGGAGTCACCTTTATTTTTGTTCCGGGACACGCAGGCGTCGATGGAAATGAAAGAGCTGACAGGTTGGCTGGATCCGCTATCACTACCGACGGTCAGCCTATGGATCATGCTGATATTATCAATGCCCTCAGAGAAATGGGAAGAATAGAGGACTTTGGTGGCAGTGAATCCACATCACTCGCCAGAATGGCAGACTTGGGAATTAAGATCGGCACAGCAAAAACGAGACGCACACCAGCTACGCCAGAAGACTTGTTAATCAACATAGAACTGGTACTATTAGCCATCGGACGTTGGGGTTCATACTGAGGGGAGGATATGAGCACCTATGGACATGTCCGGAGTGCAATGAGGATAACCCAACTAACTAACTAACTAACTAACTCCAGACAGTCTACTTGGCAATTGTGTCAGTGTATATCCCTTTGTGCTAGCTTTAGGTTGGTGTATTTTTAAAAAAAAGGGGGTGGGGGGGGGGGGAGAGAGAGAGAGAGAGAGAGAGATCCCTTGGCCACCCACCTGACAGCTAACCAGACAAAGAAACAAAAACAAATGTAGTTCGCAGTTAACTTGTTAAATCCAATTTTACAAACCTAACGTTTTCAGCAAATGCGACATCTTCTTATGCTCAGAGTTTATAAAAATCTGAAATATATGGCTAGAGCGTTGTTTCCGATAGATGAAGCGCTGCTATAATATCCATTCAATTTCTCTGTTTGGCTTTTAATATTGACATGGCTGAGAAAAATTTTTTCTCACTCAAACAGAAGTCGAAAAAAAAAAAAAGACTATCAATCCAATAGATCTGTAACTCAGAGATTTATACATTTTGTTTCGAGTAATATCAAAGACTCAGATAATCATTGCATTTTATATCTGGACACATGATTGATATCAGAAGATAACTCGATCAGCTTTTCTTTGTTTTGATGATTAAGTGAACATCATAATACATTTCTTCCAAAAAGGGATTACTAATCCAAAGATTGCCTTTACAAGATTCCTCGTTTTCATAGAAATAATTGTCAGACTTTTCAGCCAGACGTCTCTGAATGCTGACTATAACTTTCTTGTTGAAATCAGCAGAATGGTTTTTTTTTTTAAATGCTCCAAAAGTGGAACAGTTCCTATATGTATATATATATATATATATATATATATATATATATATATATATATATATATATATATATATATATATATATATATATATATATATATATATAGATATATATATATAAAGTAAAGGACCCTTTCCCACGCCTTCAGGCGTAAAGGGCATATAGGGCTAGAACTATATTTTTATGGGTGATGTGGTCAGCATCACGCCGGTAGCCTTTACTTCCCAGGACTGCACCCGGTACCCACTCAAGGCTGGGTCGACCTGGGAGCCAAGGTCATTTTTGAAAACAGTCCAGCTCTACTAGGGAGCGAACAAACGACCTTCCAATTCTCGGCGAGCGTCTAGCCGCTCCGCCACGGCGACTCCCTATATATATATATATATATATATATATATATATATATAGAAATATATATATATAACGCATATATATTACTGTCTCCCTAACGCGGCAATCCTAGAAAGCCAACCTCTTTCTGAACGCACGACAAATTCAGTGTATCATTATCACTGTTCTCTTCAATATTATATTCGTGTTTTGTTGGCAGACATTTTTTTTTTTTTTTTTTTTTTTGGATATTTCAAAAAATTTTTTTTTTAAAAACACACACGCGCGCAAATTATGAAATGGCTCAATGAAATAAAAATTTATGAATTAGAAATGCGAAGCTGAAACAATACTTCTATTCTGTGCTGCTCTAAAATTCTGGCGCCAGACTTTCGCGTACGATGCCAGACTCGCTTTGCTGCAATATAATGCTGGAATCACGTAGAAGAGT